CTGCCTCCTGCACATCTCCTACTGGGGATGTGCCCGCAACCCAGGTACATGCCCTTGACCGGAATCGAACCCGGGATTTTCTTATGCTACAGATGTGGCCATCTCTTCCCCTCCCCCTATTCATCTCTCCTTATCCCCAGAGGAAAAGCTTACAAATTTGACAGTAGGGTATAGAAGCTGCAGTCAAACCACAGTAGTATCTTGCTCCAAATGCTTCCCTGCATAATCTCCTTTGGGGTGAAATAACTGAACCAAGAATAGAAATGTTAAATACTTAGACCTGCACTTCAAATTGAAGGTTAACATCTAAATGGTACTAGGAGAAGAGGTGCAGGGGATATCAGAGGGAGGCAGCGGTGGAGGATGCCAAAGAAATTTCACCAAAATATCCTTACACAAGTAGTTACCTTCATTTACATACAATCAAACACTGAGCATACCTATAACTATTCAGGCCAAATATTTAATTTTTTAAATACATAGCATAGAGATGGCGGATTAAGAGTACACTTAGAAGTGTACTCTTCTGGAACTGCTGGAAACAGAAGTGCAGGAGAAAGGACTGGGAGGACATATATACATACATACATACACACACATCTGAAGACCCTAGACTGAGGTAAAATTATACTCACTCTCCGAGGGGAAGAGAAAACCTTGAAATGTATTTCCCGAAGCCTCAGGTGCAACAACAGGATCAGGATGTAGAGATGAGAGCAGATGCTTCCCATATTCACAAGCAATAGGTTGTTTATGTGATAGTAAAGAAATCGTATCTTACTTCTTTCTTCTTTATCCCCACTAATTAAAAGAATAAAACTAGACTCATTGACATGAACTTATGTCATACAGAAAATAGCTTGTAATATGGCCAAGTCTGATTGCTAAATAAGGAATATGCATACAAGACATAGCAAGGGGAAAACATTGAATAGGGTAAAGAACTCGTAGACATTAAACGTATATCAGAAAAATATACCCATGAGTAGGTAAAAAAAAAAAAAAGTAAAATATTTATCATGAATTTAAAAAAATGCATGGGAAGCAGTCACCACAAGGTAAATCAGAGTACAAAAACTAAAGGAAGAGATACAAAATAAAAGGTGACAAAATGGGTAAAACAGAGTAGGAAAAAAACAGTGTTGCAGAGATACAATTTATAAAGCAGCCCAAGGGAGAATTAACACTCTGAAAACACTGAGGGACATCGAATACAATAATAAGAAAAGTATATAAAATTAAAAGAAAATTGATATGAAACATTTTTGAAGGTTAAATAGAAAATTATAGCTATAGAAAAAAATGAGTAAATATACATAATTGGAATTTAAAAAAAAAAGAACAAATTTTAACAATCTAATTCCAGAACATTGTCAGAAGGAAAAGAAACTTGATTGTATAATAGGAAAAGATAATGAATTTCAGAGTAAAAAAAATAGTTAAGTTGCTATACTTCAAAGATAGAAGAAGAGAAGGGAAGACTAGTAGAAGGAGAATTAGAAATGAATGAAGAGGAAGAGCAAGAAGACCAAAAAGGGTTTTATATTTTTACTAGAGGCCTGGTGCATGGATTTGTGCACATTGAAAGGAAATTAATTAGAAGGTGGCCAGCAGAGTGTGACTGGGCTAGAAGGGCGGAACCTGCTCTGGAGCCAACCTCCTGCAGTCCCTCCCCAGCCTGCAGCACCTGGGATGGCTCCGGGCCTCGAAGGGCATCTGCAGAGTGAGCAGGGTCCTCTCAGCAGGTGGGTCCCTCGGCCTGGCCTGCGGAGATCAAGCCGAAACTGGAAGCCCGACATCCCCCGAGGGGTCCCAGGGTGTGAGAGGGCACTCTGCAAAGTTGCTATCACAGGGCACCTACTGTGTTGAGCATCTGCCCCTGGTGGTCAGTGTGTGTCATACCTACAGCCAGTCAGCCACTCAACCTTTTATATATAGAGATAATGCTCTTCCTCTCTCTCCCTTTCCCTCTTCTGCCCCCTGTCCTCCCTCTTTCTCCCTCTCTTCTTGCCCCTCCCTTTCCCTCTTCCCTAGTCCCTCGTTATCTCTCCCTTTCCCTCTCTCCCTCTCTGTTGCTCTTTTGAATGTCATTTTGGACTTAGAATTTAGATATGAATATTTTTAGATTATAGGCATTATAGAATTTTCATTCCAAAAAATATGTATGTTTTTAAAACTTAGAAAAGAGACTGTTCAATATTTAATCAAATTTCAATACCTGAATTTTTCTTTTTGTTACAGGAAATTTGCCACATTTCTGAATTTCAAAAATCTTAAAACCTGTTTAAAAGAAGCCATTCTAGTAGATTATTATGTATCTGGATTTTTGTGGGCTAGAGGCATGGACTTTTCTGTTCTGCAGTACTCAAAATTTATGACTTTACTAGATGTCTTGCTTCATAATCTTAGAGGTAAGTACTTTCTTCTTTCTTTCAAAGAAAGGAAATATTCTTTAAATTGTGTTGTCAAGCAGAGTTTCTAATTGTATTATGATTCCTTCAGTGAAAATTATATTTTTCCTTGGTGTTGCAAAACTGTAGTCATATTTTCGTTAAGTTGTAAAAGTTCAAATAATATTAAACAATATAAAGGTCTCTTAATAATTAATTTACCAAAGATATATTCCATTTCATTTTAAAATCTTTTCAGTGGCATCTATCCAAAAATAATCAAGTAGTTCAGATCTAGTTGGGTATTTTTTTCATTGTTTGAGTAGTTTTCATCTCATCTTACCTAAAAATATTCCTGGAATATCTCAGGAGGACTAAAAGAGGAAGTACTTTGGTCAATCCCAAACTTCCATTAAATAGACATTACTCACATACACTTTGATTTTGTGACTGTTTTTCTTATATAACATTGCAATCAGTTACTACAGGCAGATTGCAAATTCTTCCCTGTAGCAATTTTAAATGTGATAACTTTTGTTTGAGAATAAATAGAATTGCTTCTTGGAAGGAGGAAGAGAAGGAAATATACTTTATTTAATGCCAACTCTGTGGTCTAGGTACTGTATTTGGTCCTAACCCTTAACATACATTACTGAATCTCAGAGTATCTTCTTCCTACAGGGGTGTCTCAGAGTTGAGCAGGCAGTCCTGAGAACAAGGTCTAGAGCTGGGAAATGGCAGAACTGGAATTTGGGCCTCAGACTGTGAAACCAAAAGGCCCTGAGCACAATAAATGTAAAGGTGTTGGTGTCTCAACTGAAAGTGTCAGTTGGGAGGCATCTTCTTCTTTCCTTCCCCTTTCTCTCCCGCCCTCCCCCACGCCCTTTCTCTCTCTTTCTCCTCCTGTCTCCCCCTCCTCTCTGCCTTTCCTTTGTTTCATTTCTCTTTGGTTGTTTGCCTTTTTTTGCTTGTTTGTTTCTATTTTTTCTTGTTTTTAACTGAGCAGTTAGAGACCTTGCTCCCCCTAAAAAATTGTTACCATCATCCTAGCAAAATTTGTGGATGCCTTGTGGTCACACAAAGCCTAGTCCAGTGATGGTGAACCTTTTGAGCTCTGTGTGTCAGCATTTTGAAAAACCCTAACTTAACTCTGGTGCCTTGTCACATATAGAAATTGTTTGATATTTGCAACCATAGTAAAACAAAGATTTATATTTTTGATATTTATTTTCTATATTTAAATGCGATTTAACAAAGAAAAATCAACCAAAAAAATGAGTTCACATGTCATCTCTGACACGCGTGTCATAGGTTCCCCATCACTGGCCTAGTCTGTTCTATGTATCAATTTCTGACTACTCTGGTACAGGGGCAGTTTTTAGTGAGTTAGCAAGACTATAAAGAATCCACTCATGCCCTGTGTACTCTTACGGCTCCTAGTCACCCTTTACAAGGAAAGAATTGGTGGTTCTAATTGTGGGGAAAAGAAGTTACTATGTTCCTTCTTTGCTTTTATTTAAATATATAGGGGGAGAATTTCATCTTTGCTTTTACTTAAGTATTTATTGTAATGTTAAATAACTATACCAATAGCAGATAAAATAATTATACTTGGTAATGAAAACAAATATGATAACTGACTGATTTCCAATTATCCTGCACGTAGGAAACGGTATAAAGTGAAAATAAAAACTGAAGTCCTAGGTACTTAGTCTTGAGAATTCAGTCTTTCCAGTACTATAACTCAAGATACTTAATTTGTAATTAAGAGACATGATAAATAATATAATATTGTTTCAATTTCAAGTGTTAAACCACAACCTTCCAAAAAGGAATTTTTAGTAAATTATAAAAAAGACAGACTTTGGTTATTTTTTTTCCTTGTGAAACAAATGTTTATAGAATCTTTGAATACTACAGTCCTTTAAACCTGTTCTTTCAACAACATTGCCAAAATTACTTAGTAAACAAAGAGCTATGTAAATCCTAACTTGCATGGAAAATAATAAATAGATGCCAACAATAAGATAAATAGGATATTGAGATTATAAGCCAAAAACTTCAAAACAACTACTATAAAAATGCTTAAATGAACAAGTCAAAACAACTACTATAAAAATGCTTAAATGAACAAGTGAACGTTCTTGAAACAAATGTTAAAATACAAAGAATTATGAGAGTAATGGAAGATATAAAGAAGAAATAAATGGAAATTTTAGAATCAAAGTAGATAATAATCATAATTAAAATCTTTCTGGGTAAAACCAATAGCAGCATGGAGAGGAGACAAAGGAAAAGTCAAGGAATTTGAAGATAGAGTGATAGAAATTATCCAGTCTGCACAATACAGAGAAAACATGAACCAAACCTCAGAGCCTGTTGGACAATCAAAGTTCTAATTTCATATTATCAGAGTCCCAGAAAGACAGGAGAGAGTACAGTGCTGATCAAACATTTGAAGAAATAATGGTTAAAACCGTCTCAAATTTGGCAGAAGATAAAACCTATAAATTCAAAAGGCTGATTGGACCACAAGCAAGTTAAACTGAAAGAAAAACATCATCAACTAACTGGATCTAATTGATGTTTACAGAACAACACACCAGGAAACAGTAAATATTTTAGAAGAAAACATTGGGAGAAAATCTTCACAACCTGGGGTTATACAAGAAGTTCTTAGAAATTACCAGCAAAACCTAACGCATAAAAGAAAATAATTGATAAATTGGATTGCATCAAATTTTAAAACTTGTTTTATGAACATCACTGTTAAAAGAATTAAAAGACAAACTACAGACGGGAAACACGAAGCACGTTTACAAATTACATATCTGACGAAGGACTTGTATTTATAATATGTGAGGCATTCTGAAAACTCAACAGTGAGAAAACAAACCCTCTCAGAGGCCCTGACAGTGTGACTGCAGTTGAGCATAGACCCAGGAACCAAGAGATCACTAGTTCCATTCCCAGTCAGGGCACATGCCAGGGGTTGCAGGATCGAGCCCTCATAGACGGCATGCAGGAGGCAGCCGATTGATGATGTTTTTCTCTCATCGGTGTTTCTATCTATCAGTCTCCCTTCCTCTCTCTCTCAAATATCAACAAAAACATTAAAAAAAATAAGCAAAGCCATCAAAACCCATGACTCCTGTTTAACCATGAGGAAAACATCAGGCAAATCCAAATTGAGGAACATTGTACAAAATATCTGAGCAATACTTCTCAAACTGATAAGGTTACTAAAAACGAGAAAAGTCTGAGAAATTGTCACTCTAGGGCAGTGATGGCGAACCTATGACACGTGTGTCAGAGGTGACACACAAACTCATTTTTTTGGTTGATTTTTCTTTGTTAAATGGCATTTAAATATATAAAATATCAAAAATATAAATCGTTTTTCTTTGGTTGCAAATATCAAAAAATTTCTGTATGTGATACGGCACCAGAGTTAAGTTAGGGTTTTTCAAAATGCTGACACGCCGAGCTCAAAAGGTTCGCCATCATTGCTCTAGGTTAACCCCAGGAGACATGACTAGTAAATTTAAAGTGGTGTCCTGGATGAAATCCTGGAACAGAAACAGGACATTAAGTAAAATTTAAGGAACTCTAATAGACATGAACTTTAGTTAATTACAATGTATAAATTTTAGTTTGTTAGTTTTAATAAATATACCATAATGTAAGATGTTAAAAATAAGAGAAATTGTGCATGAGGTATGCAAGAATTCTCAGTACTATTTTTGTAATTTTTCTATAAATACACATTTATTCTAAAATAAAGTTTCTCTTTAAAAAATGGACAAAAATTTAACTTGGATTCTTCACCAAGGAAGATAAAAGGATGCAAAATGACATGAAAAAATGTTCAACATCACTAGCCACTGGGGACATGTAAGTCACTCTGATACCGCCACACACCTATTAGAATGGCTAAAATAAAAAAAATACCAAATTCTGGGAAGGATACAGAGCAACTAGAGCAAGAGTTTTGCCAATGCGACAGCCACTCTGGGAAATGGTTGGCAGTTTTCTTATAAAATTATATGACCCATTAGTCCCACTTCTAGGCATTATTCTAATAAATAAAACATGTTCATAAAAAAACCTGTGCGTGAATATTTTGTAGTTGCTCTATTCATAAGTGCCCCAAGTTGAAAACAGTCCAAATGTCTGTCAATAGGTGAAGAGGTAAACAGTGTTCATACAATGAACATAAAATGGAACATTACTTGCCAGTAAAAATGAATGACCCATGATACATGCAAAAGTTTAGATGAATCTCAATAGCATCGTACTGATTTAAAGAAGTTAGCCACAAAATATTGTACACTGTATGATTGCATTTGTAGGATGTTCTCAAAATGATAATAGCTATAGTGATGGAGAATACATTATTGGTTGCCAGAGACTGGGATGGAAAGAAGCCATGAAAGGCATGGGGGAGTTTTATTTATTTATTTAATTATTTAATTTGTATTGATTTCAAAGAGGAAGGAAGAGGGAGAGAGAGATAGAAACATCAATGACAGAGATAGAGAATCATTGATTGGCTGCCTCCTGCACGCCTCACACCTGGGATTGAGCCCACAACCTGGGCATGTGCTCTGACCGGAAATCGAACCAACCACTGAACCACTCTGGCTGGGCCATGAGGGAGTTGTTGGTGTGGTGTAACTGTTCTGTATCCTATTGTGGTGGTGGTGGTTACCTGATCTCTCCAAGTGTTTAAGTTCATAAGACTGTACAGCAAAAGGAAAAGTCAATTTCATTGTATAAAACTTTTAAACAATGTATATATATAAAAATAAAGATAAAAGATTTAATGAAAGCAAATATATATGCTGTAACAAGAAAGAGAAACTACCTAGAAATAAATTTAAAAGCACACTATCACATGATCTCACTTAGATGTGGAAGCTAATGAACAAAATAAACTGATGAACAAGACATGTCCTAAGACATGGATACATGGAACAGATTGACAGATCTCGCCAGAGGCGAGGGTGGAGATGGGAAGC